TGTAATAAATGTGTAATAAAGATATAGTACTATAATATTATATATTGAAACTAACTGGCTGTGAACCGTTAGAATGAAAATTAATTTAGTTCATTTTATGTTATGATTAAATATACGAATTTTCTAATTGACTAGTTATACGTTAATATGTAATTTATTCAAAATTAATTGTTTTTTTAGTTTTAAATTTTAAACAAATTTTTTAAACAAAAAAACAGGAAAAAATAAAAATTACAACAAGGAGTCATAACACCATAAAGAGACGGTTCTTTTCAAAAACAAAATCAAAGAATAAAAAAGAACTGAAATCCGGCATAATATATAACATTCCTTGTACTCAATGTCCTAAAAGCTATGTTGGGCAGACCGGTAGATATTTAAAACAAAGATTGAATGTACATAAAAATGATCAAAGGAACTTTCTTTTGAAATCTAATCCTACCGCATTAGTAGAACACAAAATAGAGACAGGCCATAACTTCGATTTTGACAATACCACTATTTTACAAACACAATCTAATTATAAAAAAAGATTATTTGCAGAGATGATAGAAATCCAAAAAAACAAAAATTGCGTTAATAAAAGAACAGACGTAGAAAACCTGAGTACAGCATATTTTAATATTCTTTCAAAAATTAAATAATATAACTTCAAAATAATGGTTTAAATCCAAATAATATTTTTATATGTTTCTTTTTTCAACTGTTCTTTATCTCCAGGTAAAAATTATATTAGTATTTTATCAACTAGAATTAGTTGCTCTCTGTATACGGTCAACGTAGGTACATCTGCACTGCTTGTCTGTGAAAGGAAAAGATTTTCGTGATATTTCTCTATACATAATTGTGTTATATGTTTTTTTTTATGTAAGTGTGTTATGTGTTTTAAAGGAAAAAAGGGATATATACCACTCCCCTCTATACCATCCGTGTATTAATGGATATGACTAAGAAAGTCCAGATTTAAATGTGAGTAACATATACATATATTTTATTTAATTGTTAACATTAGGGTAGTTTTACCAATTGTATATGTGTGGAATTCCACTGATATGTATTTTGAGTTGTTTGTTAAATTTTTTGGAAAAACTTTTATTTGATTGTATTTTTTGCTCTCTTAACTTTGTAGTGTCCTGAAGATGCAAATAAATTTTGCGCAACGTCGACAAATTTAAAACAAAGGACTTCTGTTGATTTCTTTCGATCCTAATCCAATTTATAAAAAAAAGAACACATTTTAAATTTTAAATTACTAAAACATTTATAATACGAATTAACTCGATAATGTAACACTTTAAAAAATATTTTAAACTATTTTTTTTGGAAAGACTTCTTTCTAAGTGAATATAATAAATTTATTCATTATTTTACTAAATCTTTTGATAAACTGACTAAAAGTAATGTTGATTTTTAAAACAATACAGAAGAACATATAAATATCAGGCTGTTTATGTCAATAAAGTTAAGCGACTTTGTAGTAGTAGTTGTATGCTTGGACGATTTGAATTTTGTTGTGCTATTGTTCGAAGGCAATACTGTAAAATCTGTTATCTATTGAGATGCAGTGCTCATTACTTACGCCTGTTAGACACCGGATAAAGTCGAATATCATGTAAGAGTCGATTTGGATATGCAATACGTATGTATATACAATTTAACAGTCATGGTGTTGTCAAAGTTTCAATTTAGAGTTCTCGTTAATTAATAATTAGCTCCAGTACTTATTAGCAATTATACAGCAATTTTAGAAAATATTACCTTATTTCAAGAGCTAATTGGCCTACAATCTATAACATCCCTAAATAACATTACATTATTAAAATCCCTAATAACGTTACTAAGAAGTATCTCTATATCTAGAGCACGACTGCTATTTTTGTATAAGACAAATTCCGCATGAGGAGGAATGTTGCATTTATAGAGTTATGAGATGGGAACAAGAATAAAACGGGATACTTTATACCATTATACAAACGACAGTGGCGTATGGTTCGAAGTGATAAAAGAATCAGTTTATTGCTTAATAAAATGCTCAGAAATTTGTGTAATATTAATATTGCAAAGTGTGTACCGAATAAGTGTTTAGTAATATCAAAGACTTTAGTCTGTGGTAATATACAGGGTGATACTTAATGCAAATATTCACAAAGCTGGTATGGTTTGGTCCAAAATAACCGAGTTATTTTACTTTCAAAAAAGAAAATGTTTATATTTTGAGAACCATAGGTTCAACTGGTTTTGAGAACCACCAATAAAAAAAATCAAAGAAAATTTCAAGAAATATGAAATTTAAAAAAAAATATTTTGAAGAAAAACTCATTGACGTGTTGCTGGGGTCGAAATATAACACCCCTAAAAATATTTGTACTTATTTAAGACTCATCTTGTACAGGGTGGCGCCTCTCATATGCCACGGAGGCTCCAAGGAGAACGACAGTTTGTATTGAAATGAAATTTTGTTAGCATATTTTGTTATGCATATTCAGAGCACTTTTTAAAAATATAGAGAGTTCTACAGGGTGTGCTCAAAAAAGTTACAGATCAAAATTGTGTTTTTTGTAATGTAACACCCTATATATTAATTGACTAAAATGTAAGGTTTTTGACATATTTAACATTTTCTAGAAATAAAGAACAATTTTTAAATTACAATTAAGGCTACCTAAATTGGAAATTACCCGGTATAGCATAATATGTAGTTAAATTAACTATTGTACTTTAAATCAAATTAAAACTTGATCCAAAAAGTTTTACAGGGTGAGACAAAATTAATATTGAACATTGGTTACCTTTAAAAGCATGTTACTCTGTTATTTTAAATGGAACACCCAGTATATTATTCCGATATTCAATGGAGAATTCATGTCTCTTCAAAATATTATTAAGGTTGCCTACCCTTCAAACAAAGATTTTCCTAGTTATTTTCATTTACATGATTTGATCTGAGTAGATATTTATTATTTGATAAAATCTAGGTGGCTGTGATGATGCTGTGATATGTCTGACGTTATTTCAATATAGCTGTCTAATTAGTCCAACTTTAACAACTAGTTATCACTTTGTGTCAGTTAAAACAAAAAAATTTCTCAGAAATCTACCGAAAATGCAAACTTATCCTACATCAGAGAGAATTGATATGATTCTTTTAGTTGGTGAATGCAGTGTGCATTTACCAATTAATAGAATACTTAAATGCTCCTGATTTTATCTAATCTGGGTTTCTTTTATGGGGATATGTTAAAGACAGTGTTTACAAAACTCGACCAACTACTGTCGACAATATAAGAGAAATTATTGTAGCTGCTTTTCGAGTTAGAACTCCATATATGCCTTTTAAAATGAAAATAATCTTTTGAAAAGGCAATCATTTTATGCAGTTAACTGGAAAGGAAGCATTTTGAGCATTTGATTTCATCTAGTTAATTTTTGTCGCATAATTATAGGTTTATATCTAGTTTTAATTCTGTAATAATTAAAATATGTTTTAAACGTGTATCTTTTTATTACCCTTGAGCATTTTACTCTACAATCTTTAATTTTTGTTAAATTAACAAAAGGTATATCACACAGTCACCTAGATTTTTTTCAAATAATAAAAATTTACTGACGCAAAATCATAAAAATTAAAATATCTGGGAAAATCTTTGTCTGAGGGGTAGGCAACCTTAATAATATTTTGAAGATATATAAATTCTCCATTGAACACCGGAAAAATATACTGGGTGTTCCATTTAAAATAAATGAGTAACTTGCTTTTAAAGGTGACTAATGTTCAATATTAATTTCGTCTCACCCTGTATAACTTTTCGGGTCAAATTTCAATTTGGTTTAACATACAATGGTTACTGTAATTAAATATCAGGCTATACAAGGTCATCTAAAATTTAGCTAGTTGTTATCGAAATTTAAAATTTTCTCTTCATTTTCACAAAATGTAAAATATGTCAAAATCCTTATATTTTAGGTATATGCTTCTTTAATAAAACTCACCTTTATTTTTTTCTTAGAATCCGAAAATCAATTAATATATAGAGTGTTCCATTAGAAAAAACACAACTTTGATGTGTAACTTTTTTTGAGGACAACCTGTATAATTCGATATATTTTTATAAAATGCTTACAGTTAACCTACATATGCTGCCAAAATTTCATTTCGATATAAACTACCGTTCTCTTTGGAGCTTCCGCGGCGTATGAGAGGCGCCACCCTGTATAACAAAGAAATAACTTTTCTGCAAAATTATTTTTTAAAGGTAAAATTTTGTTTCCCTTTGTATGATTTTTAGTGATGAGCAAATGCAAGACCGAGACTCCTTTGGTCTTGGTTTTGTCGTGTAATAAGTAGCCTCAGTCTTGGTCTTGCTGGAAGACTCTTCCAAGTCTTGCATTTTTTTAAAAGAGGCACTTTCTACATAGAAAATATTTAATTAAATATAATTTTTACTAATTTCGTTGAAATAAGATTTTAAAAAAAGAAATTATTAGAATATCTGTAGGACAAAAAATTGTATTTTTTAATATTATTCATTTATTTCTTTAAAATTTTATGTTTGGTCTTGTTCTTGCGGAAGTCTTGCACTGTTCGATCTTGGCCTTGGCCTTGCAGTCTTAAGACAAGTCCTAAAACTACAAGACCAAGACCAGTCTCAATCATCAATAAAGATTTTTGACCAGGTTGGTTCTAAAAACGGTTTTAAATATTTGAATTGGTAGCGAGGTATAACTTTGGACAATATTTCACATAGATAAATGGGAAGGTTATTTATATTTTGCATCACTTCAGATGTTTTATTACTATCGTTTACGGTTATTATCGTTTAAAAATGGCGAAAATAAATAATATATTGAATAAAAAGAAATAAAATTTATGGAGTGATACTATAATTTATACTCTCATGTAGTAATAATACATTTGTGATGAAAATATAGTAGTCAACATAAAAATATGCGGTCCCGACGCTGACCACTTATGTCTGACATTTTATTTTTATTTTTTCCAGACTGCATATATACGACTTTGGAGGAAGGAGAATTTTATAGTAAAGCAGGAACAAGAAGGGTTGGAGAAACCTGTGGTATTTATATTAATGCAGATCCGGACCAACTTATTGAAATAAAGTTTAATTATTTTGACGTTCCCTGCGAAAATGGAGGACTTGTAGTGGTAAGATTCGTTTAACTTAGTTTTGTATAAATTCTTTTTCTCAATTTATCATTTTTAACTAATATAATAATTATTATATACTAAATAAAAAAATTAGTTAAAAATTCTTGAAAAATTAATAAAAAGATAATATTTTTAAATACTATTTTTGCATAATACAGATAATGTCTCCATTTAAATTAAACATAAAATATGTATACACTTACCTTTTATTAAACTCTGTAGTGGTTCAGTTGATGTCCACAGCGAGGCCCACAGAAAAAATGCAGTTGATTATGTAAACTAAATGGTAGACATAGCCATCAATTTTTGCTAATTTATTTCTAAAAGCCAATTTATAATTAGTTCATATACAAAGACAAGGAACAAACTTTTATGTGAAGAAACAGTCAAATAAGATTAGGTAAAATAAAAGTAGTAAAACACTTTTATTCGAAAGAAGTTATATAAGATTTTTAAATATTGAACTCAACGAACATAAAATAGACATATGTGCACTTTCCGAAACAAAAAAGAAAGGTAAAGGAACAACAAAACTAAATAGCTACATTTTAATATACTCAGGCGTACCAAAAGACCAAAGAGCAACATCAGGCGTTGGAGTAGCTATAAATGATAAATATGAACAGAATATAGAAAGCATAGAATACGTGTGCGACAGAATCCTGAGAGTAAAGATTATGTTTGACCAACCCATTCACATTATATCAGTGTACGCACCCGACATTAATAAACCTGAAGAAATGTCAATGGACTTCTACGAAAATCTACAGTCAGCGATAGACAAAAGACCAAGACATGAAAAGATAATTCTGTTAGGGGATTTAAACGCAAGAATTGGAAACGAGGTAGTGGATGGAATAAAACAAAAATATAACGAATAGAAATGACGAAATTTTGACCGAATTCTGTGGACAGAATGAACTGAGAATAAACAACACATATTTTCTCCATAAAGAACAACACAAATACACCTTCTATGACAATAGAAACAATAATACAATAATCGATTATATCATCACCAATCGAAGTTTCTTACCTCAACAGATAATAGACATAAGAGTCTTATCCTCAGCCAACATTGGAACAGATCACAAACCTGTGCTAGGAAAGATACGAATAGGTGCGCCGCTATCCAAAAAAAGACCATCGAAAAAAACTGAAAAATTCAATATAGAATCCCTCAACCACGAAAGCACTAAACAACTTTATTCAAACAGATGCCAAACACATGTCACTCTTAACCCCATAGTACAGTTTGATACTCCTAACACAGCTTGGAACAAACTGAAAGAAAACATCTGCAAAGGTGTTAAAGAAGCTTTAGGAACACGTACTGTATCACACAATAGAAGACCGAACATTAAACCTTGGTTTACATTAGAAGTCAAGAACATTAGGAAAAATAATTACAATACAAGAAATCTCCAACACCGGAGAACCGAAATATCTATACCGAAATAAGGAACAGGACTAATAATAGAGTACGAGAAATTAAAGAAGAATACTGGCAGCGATTTAGTAGCGAAATGGAGGCGGATATGTACGGAGCACAAAAACGTATTTGGAAGATGTTGAGGGGTTTGAAACGAGAAACAAATGAAACAATACAACTAAGAACAATTGCAGAAGATACGTGGGAAAAATATTTCAGAGACTTAAACGCAGAAACAGATGAACCAATGGAAGCACAAGAGACAAGCCAAAGAGATAATACAGAAGATCATACGCAAATCACTTACAAGCAAGTAGAAGAGGCAATAAGGAAACTTAAAAATAGAAAATCTCCTAATCAAGATAAAATACCAAACGAGCTAATAAAAAACGCAGGCACGGCTATCATAGAGGAATACACAAAACTGTTTAACATTATATTACAACATAAGAAAATACCAGAAGAATGGAAACAAAGTATAACAATACCCATTTTTAAAAAGGGAGATAAAACAGACCCAGCAAACTATAGAGGAATAACATTACTGAGCACTTCGCTAAAACTTTTTTTTTAACAAGCAGTTTAAGTAGAATCGTGATTATTCAATGGTTATATTTTATGAAACACCCTGTATAAATTTTTAAAAAACCTTAAAATATGTAAAACAACAAAATAAAATATACATGTTTAAGAGTTTTTCCGAAAAACTCACAGGTTTTTAAATAAAAAATATTCTAATATTTGAGGGGTGGTTTCACCCCCTTAGAATTCGAGTTTCGAAAAATCCCTTCTTATCGAACCTCTACACCCTAAAGTCAATCTGTTTTCCAAAAATCAGCTGTTTACGTCAAGCGCTTTAAGCAGGATCGTGATTAATCAATGACCAGATTTTTCGAAACACCCTGTATACATTTTTGAAAAATCTTAAAATATGTAAAAAAAGAAAATAAAATATACGTGTTTAAGCGTTTTTTCGGAAACTTGACCGTTTTTTAAATAAAAAATATTGTAATATTCCACCCCCCTTTTACCCCCTTAGGGGATGAATTTTAAAAAATCCTTTCTTATCTTACGTAAACATTATAAAAGGAACCCCTGTGCAAAATTTCAGCTTTCTATGGTCAAGGGTTTGGTCTGGGCGTTGATGAGTCAGTATCAGTCAGGACAATCAGATTTATATATATAGATTATGTATGAAAGATCTAAATCTGATTGAATCAAACCTGATTACACATATGGATTAAGAGAAAATTAACTTACTGTGTGATAAATCGAAAACTTTGAACGTGAGTAAATTTTGAAATAAATTTTAGTTGATATAAATAAAACATAACCTTAAATTTACAAAAAAGATCTAAAGAAAACTATGAAAATTATTTGCAATACTTCTAGCCTAACAAATAACTCTGTTAATACAAACGAACTTACATGACTGTTATTAGGAATGTATTGATTTGTATTAAATCTAAAAGTAATCAAATTAACTGCCTTTCGACGAAATTTGCTTCTTACACTTTAATAACTCTATAAAGATTGAGTTACAAGATATATTTTCGACGAGAAAGTTATTGTATAGCTTATCAGATTAACATTTTTTGCACTTCCCAAGAAATATTTTACTTGGATTCTGTAACAAAATCAGACGAAATTTAGCTTTTGTTACATAATCAATTTTAATTTGTATTTCTATATTATATGGCAGATTATATTATATAAGGAAATTTTTTGTTTCAATTTTAAGAGATCAATTATTTATTATCGTCATGTGATATAGTTAAAACTACAACTTAATCTGTAATAGCTAGTCATACTCGCTTTTTTCAATAGAACTCAGAACCCGACTTGTGACACAAGATAAGATATGCGAATATCTAGAGGTATGCAGACTTATATCGTTGATTGAAGAAATAAGAAGATGCGCAAACTTATGGGCGATCTTGTGGCACAAAACCTGTCCGAGATGTAGCTGACGTTAGCGTCAGCCTGTCGAGAATTATCGAGAATTCCGAGATTTAATTTAGCTCTGCGCCGCTGCGCGCTGATAGTCGTTTACAGCGCAGCGGATAAAGAATACTGTACCGTAGCAGACCGTAATTCTGCTTTCAGTCAATAGAGTGAGTGGTTGCTGGAGACAGTGTTGCCAGAACTACTGATTAATCCGTAAATTTGCTGATTTTCGGTACAGTACGTTAATAATCCGGATTTTCATCATTTAATATAATATTATGTGATTAAACAAAGAACGGCTTCAGAGTTCGCTTGGAAATGAAGATCGCTGTTATTTCATGTGTAAAATATTATGGCAACTGTCAATAATCGTCATTTCCAAGTCAACTAAACGACTTTTTTCGATCATACGACATATTCAGTAGTCAGAAAAGAATTTTTCTTTTTTTTTTGTTTATTCTACAGGGTACGGCAATAGTGCGTCGGGTATCTGTAGCTCCTAAAATAAAAATCTTGGGAATTTTGTTTAAGTGCAAAACTAAAGTATGTACTAGGATGTATTTCAGGAAAATATTTTAACTTCTATAGGGTGGCTCAAAAAAGTGTGAGTGGATCGGGATATTATTTTTTATTGGAACACCCTGTATGTTATTGCATTTTTGGCTTCCTTTTAGATCACTTTACATAATTCTAAGACATGAGTAAATATACTTCGATAATTTCAGAGATATTAATAAACAAATAAAAATTATATATTTTTTAGCCTTTCTTAAAAAAATTATTAATAATACAAGAACTGTCCTGAAATCAAAACTATATTAGATATTTACTTTACATGATCTGTACTTATATATGCTATAAATATGGAAATCGTAAATCATACAGGATGTTCAAAATTCTACGCCAAACTTTCTAAAATATAAAATAATTTTTCTTTGTTTTTTTAAATAGAACACCCTGTATATTATTTTTTCAGTAGATGGAGAATTAAAAAATTAACATTTTTTGTATTTAGAGCATTTCAAAATTTTAAACGGTTTCGCAGATTCCCGGTTTTGTATTTCATATAGCATTTTCCACAGTAAATTTTTATCAAAGCCACCCAATGATTTTTCTCTCGTATTTTACCATTGAAAGCGCGATATGAAATAATACTGCGTGTATCCGGAAAACTATTAAAAATTTTGAGATACTTTAAATACAAAAAATGTTCCCTTTTTAATTCTCCATCAAATAAAAAAATAATATACAGGATGTTTAATCCAATTAAAAAAACGAAGAAAAATTACTTTATATTTTTGAAAGTTTGGCGTAAAATATTGAACACCCTGTACGATTTACGAATACCATATTTATAGCAAAGTAAGAATAGATCATCTGAAGTAAATATCTAGTATAGTTTTGATTTCAGAACAGTTATTAATAATTTTTTTAAGAAAGGCTGGGGAAAAATATATATTTTTTTTATTTATTTATTAATATCTCTGAAATTATCGAAATATATTTACTCATGTCTTAGGATTATGTAAAGTGATCTGAAAGGAAGCCAAAAATGCAATAATATACAGGGTGTTCCATTTACAAAAAATCATCCAGATCCACTCACACTTTTTTGAGCCACCCTATAGAAGTTAAAATATTTTCCGGAAATACATGTTCATACATACTTTAGGTTTGCACTTGAACAACATTCTCAACTTTTTTATTCTAGGAGCTACAGATGCCAGACGCACTATTGCCGGACCCTGTATGTTTAACATGAATAAATAAATAAATAAATAAATGCCTTTATTGTCAAAAAATTTTTCAATTTGTGGACAAAGGTAAACTAACAAACAAAGTAAAAAAAAACAAGGTACACAAACAAACAAACAAAAGATAATACAAAACATTATACAAATAATATCCGTTGTAATAGATTTTCAACATATAAACGCGGATTTTTCACTTATAATATCACAAGAGCTTAAATTATTTTCGGAAATTTTTTTGAGGGCACGAATATTTTGAAAATTATCCCGAGTCGAAGACGAGGGATAATTTTCCTAAAATATTCGTGCCCGAAAGAAAATTTCCAGGAATAATTTAAGCTTGCGTGGTATTCGGTAAGAAAATTTCACACCTAAATTTGAAAAAAAAAATATTAATCCAACATGACATTTTAAAATAATTTCAATTTGTTAAGTTGGCCAAGGTATTGCTAAAACTCAAATGGGTAATATTTCAATATATAGACATTGTAGTTCATTCACATTATGATTGTAGATCTTATTTTTACCTTTTCAACTGTCAAAAAATTTCCACTAAAGTTTCGTGGCGCCTCGAAAAAATTTCCGGAAATTTTTTCAGTTGCCATGGTAACTAGTCAACATTAAAGCATGTTATTGGTTGAAAAGTAGAGGTGTGAAATTTTCATCCAAAGATATTTTCGTCAAACGTATTACATATATTACACATTTTAATATGCCAACACTGTCGCTTTCAGATCCACACCGTCTTTGATATGCCTTCGCTGGCCGAATTAGAGAAAGTAGGTGTTTTATGCGTTGACCGCAGATCGATTGGTGTCTCCACCGTACAGCATCTGAGACGTAAGGGGAAATCAAACCAGCCTTGTCACATTCTTTCAATTAACGCTTACATATATACAAATTATTGTATGAGTAGGCTGTGGTTGATATTAAAAATTTATATCCGGTGTGTTTTTGATAAAATTTGCGTGTATTGAGTATGGCATTTGTGTCGAATGTATTTTTTGAATACTTTGTTATTGATATTTTTTGGCAAAAGTATAAATTGAAATAAAAAGCGACTTTTTTGTTATTATCGTAGACGCTTTCTGTATTCTATTGATATTTATCGCAAGCATCGTCAAATAAATAGGCCCTACTTTAGAAACATTTTGTCGAAAATGTGATATATTTTAGTAAAAGCTTTTTTGTGATGTTTTTAGATTTATTAGACGCATCTCTAAATAAATTGAAACTACTTTAGAAAAAAAAGTGTCTATTGGGAGAATATGTTCCTTTTTTGAATAATCTTAATAGAGCAGTAGATTAATAGCAGTAGATTACTTTTATACATATTTGTTGAAATTTTAAACTTTCGTAAAATTGTTTCACACTAGTTTAGAGAAAGTACAGCAAAACTTATTCTGTGACAGCTTGAGTGCTTTGTGGCAAAACTTGTGTGGCGAAGTGTCTCACTAACCAATAAGTTAGTTATATGTTAACTAGGCTGTTTCAGACAGCGACCGCCGCAGTCTGTAAAGATGTGTTTATAACTTGACCGCCTTGACCGCCACAAACAATAATATTTTATATTACCACTTTAAGAAAAAATGGTAACAAATAAATATTTCATTAACACCTTCATTTCTTATTAATTCATTTAATATTCGATATTATTTTGTGATTGTTTTTACGAAAAATATAATCAACAAGAATTTGTTACTGCATTTTTAAAGAATATGGTATGAGGTTTAGGAGTCAATGAACTTCTCCAGATCACGGTACTTACTCTTGCACAAAGAGAAGAAAACAATTCAGATCTTTTCAACTCAAATATTCCTGTATTAACATTTTATTCATAAAAACAAATCGCCGCAAGCCATTGCAATTTCATAAAATTCGTTGTTTTAGATCAAATAAAAGCGTAATTTAATGTTCTTTTGTTCTTGTTTCTATATTTACCTGTATGTTCTTAATTTGTTTTCGTGTTTATATTTTTTTCTTGGAGTTACAATTTACATGGAGCCTTGTAGAGTGTTTAGGAGGAGAGTTAATCACCGCGACCTTACAGATCTATTGTATTTTCCCCTTTCTTCAGTTATACCGAGTTATAACTGATCATACAGTATCAGGGTTTTAATAAAAGCCGGTATCTCAGACGGCTCCACAGAGGCTAGCTCTTCATCTTCGACATCAGTTGTACCAAAGTTCATGGCACGAACGGTCGTCGTCTCGGCGCACTTACTGATAAGATGTTCTGGTGTTTCCCCATTTTCCCCACAGAATCTGCATTCGCCGTTGTTTCTCAGCTTCAGCCTACTGAGGTGTTTGTTGAGGAGACAGTGTCCTGTTAGAAACCCCGTGATAGTCTGTAGATTGTTTTTACTTAAATCAAAGAAAAATTTGATTTTTCTCGGTCGTAAGTTCTGAGGAACTTTTTCGAGTGTCTTAGACCGTTGGTTAGGTTAGGTTGGAGCAAAGGAAAGGTACATGGAGCCTTTGTATGAAGAAAATTAAAAAAATACACCCAATCAACCTCAATATACTAAAACATTTTTTGAATTTTTGGACGCAGGTCATGATATTATGATTCAGACTGTGTTTTATTCATTGTTATGTCTGCTAGTAAGACGTTATTGTCCATTTGTCATTCCGAACTTTACTCTTTTGATGAAACCGTCGCGTCGTAATAAAATCACTATTTTAAACCGAATCATACTTTTAAGGTGGTGGATGGTTGGGAGCTGAGTGGAGAAGTTTTTCCATCGCCCGAAGACCATCCCAAGGACCTCAAATCGAGACTGAACGAATATTGTGGCAGGAGGAAAATTAAGCAAGCGTTTATGAGTTCCCAGAACGCTGCCCTGATCCAGTATAGAATGCCCTCAAGAACGGCGAGTTTCAGTTTCAGTGTGAGATTTGTCAAAAACCCCACTCGTAAGTACAAAATAGTTGTTATACTTAGTACGAGAATAATACTATTGTTGCTATTATTATTGTTCCCTGATGATTTGGCTATTGATGATTTTTTTTATTTTTTTTTTAATTATTATAACAGTATAATAATTCCATCATGAAATTATGATATTTTTTAAGTATTTTTTTATTTATTATTACCCTATAGCTTTATATCTAATGATGACTAATGAGGAAGATGCATATATTTTATTTTTCGCCAGAAACTGTTCAATTTATTAGAATAAATATGTATAGATGCTAAAAAAACTTTTTTCTTCAAAGCAGTACCACAATTTTATAAAACGGGCCATTAAAATACTATGGATAACGCAAACGACGCCTCGCGAATTGATACGATATTCTATTGGTCTGACGTCACCCGCCGTTCTCGCGCGATGGCCAGCAGCAGCCAGACGTGTTCCGTTTATGTACGTATTTAGGTGGCGTACTAAGACATTTTTGTTGCTTTTAGCGTTGATTGAAGGAACTTTTTATGCTTTTTTGTGCAGTTATTATTTGTATGTGTTGTGTGTTCTGAGAATTTTTTAAGTAATGGCAGATTCCGGGTTTGTAAAAGCACAATAAGATAACTTGCCAAAAGTCGATGCTTTTATGTTGGCTGCTTTTATAAATACAAATTCCCAATTTATTGGTACTAAATTACGAGGAAAAAAACAGAGAGGTATGTAACATTTATTCTTTGTTGTACTCAGGCATATTTAAGTATAAGTAGGTACCTACTGTTACGAACTTTTATATAGTTATAAATTAATGTTATAAACTTATTTTTCATATCAGGTAGGGAGACGTATAGAGATAATGCTGTAGGTTATGTAGAAGTGAAAAGAGACAGAAATATTTGTTTAGTACGTGGAAAAATAACTCCAGAGCATAGCGCGAAAAAGAAAGTTTTTTTATATATTGACACCCCTTTACCTTATTTTTAAAGATTGTTTTTTTTACGAAATTATAGGAAATAAATTGTTTATCAGTAATGAAAATATTATACAAGGTGTCCCATAAGCAAACGCCAAAATTAAGTTACTTTTTTAAGTGAAACACCCTATATATTTTTGGATTCTTCGGAAATTTCTAGATATTCTAGATATATTTCATGTATAATATCCTATACCTATCTTCAAATGTTTACGAAATATTGACAGTTGAAAAGCGAAAAATACCTACAATTTTCTGGACCACCTTTTTTAAGACACCCTGTATAACTAGAATTAATTTTAAAAGAGAGTATATGAAAAACCATGCAACTTTTTTATTTAACGTTTTCTTCTAAAACTTGCAGTTAAGGCTGTATGTGGGTGTCAAAATATAATGAATAACCCTGTACATTCAAATTTCATATACCTATGTAAGACAATATACATAAATATATGAACTTACATCAAAATGATCTTCACAACAATAAATCGTAAAAATAGAGGATAATTTAACGTTTTTCTTTTCATCTCTTCTCATGGCCTTGGACCATTTTTTTCTGTTTTCGCTCATCCATTACTATTTATAAATATCACTAATTACTAATTATGTTTTAATTAACACAAATAACTAAAATTTTGACTCCGATTCAACCATCGTTTGTGTAAAATAAACACGCGTCTGGCTCCATTCAACCAGAAGAACGGCGGGTGACGTCACAGCGGCAAGGCGCGGTAGAGAGCGTTTGCCCGGCCATTTAAATTAACAATATTTAATTATTTTATATTAGAGGCATTTCTTAACCGATATCAACGATTTTTTTTTGTTCAATTTGTAATTATATGAACTATTTTTTAAAACCATTATTTAAAAACATGCATTTTCCTCATTGTCTTCATCCTAAATGTTCTTTAGAACACCGCGCGCATTGTTCAATTATAATTAACAAGATGTTCATTTCAAAACTAACAGAACCAGCTTTAGCGCAAACCTTTCATGTAATTTCTTGTTACTGTATTGTTTTATTAAACAGCAATTACAGGAGCTTTTAAAGGCCTGCTAGATTTTAGCGTTTATTAATAGAACACTATAGTTTTAAGATAATTTGATGATGTACCTTGTACTCTAACTGACTTAGATATCATAGAGAATTTTATATACTTAGGTGCTTTAATGGTTATCTTATATGGCTTTATCTACTATCTACGAGTATATAAGCTTTTCTAGGATATCTTAAACTACTTTTTTTAATATAACATAGTTGATATTTTTGTCTCTCAGAAAAATTTCTCAGTTCTAACTTTTAATTCTATCTCAATTTAAAATAAAATTAAAACCTTAGAGCGATCAAAAAGATTAAAAAAAAACTTCTACGTTAATTTTGGTGGGTGATACGAATATTAAATTTTGTTTTCAACAATAATTGGCTTGCTTCTTAAAAGCCACAATTATTCCCACTTGTACTGAAAAATGTTTAGAACTACAAAAGTTTACGAGAAACAAAAACCGAGAATCACTTAAGTATAATTTTCGTGCATTAAAAATGGCAACAAAAGTTAAATTTCTTTTTTTAATGAAATTATAAAGTTGTTATCCTTGTTTTTTGAGTACCTCTATTTTTCAAATGTGGTAAGTTTTTATACCTTTGTCTTTATGCCTTATTATTTGGGGAATTTTAGGTGAAAGTATTTAAAAATTTTATTTCTTATTGAAAGAGGTGTTTGTGTGCGTAGAAGTTAGATATAAGACAGAAAAAGATGAAAGTCAAATATCATCTATAGAATATTAGTCTTACTGGAGATTCGAAATGTAGATTTTATTGAGAAGATGATGATCTAACAATACCAAAAACCTCTAAAGTGATGCAGTCGTTCAAAACAGAATACTAAACTAATCAAACATGTACCATACTGTTGCAAATCTAGACAAAATAACATAAGTACATACCTAAGATTATAATTTTTTTGACGGAAGAACACTTTTTCAACTAATTACTAATCATGTTGTAAAATATGATTCTTTATTTGCTTTTTCTTCTGGATTTCATTAACCTTGGAGTTAATATTGGAGGCTGTTAATTTCCTATTTTTTACATAGCTAGTTATCCGTTATTACACAAACTTTTATTTCGTAATAACGGATTATTTCTTAATGATATTATTCAACACCATCCTCTCCAAATAATAGTGATGCCCAAGGGATATCGTAACAAATAGAGGCTGTATTTTCAAAGGAAATTTCTGATAGACCTTGGAGAACTTATTAAGCACGGTTCATTACTCTATTGCTTTTGCCATACTTTAATACAACTTCTTAATTACTAATTAGCAACATGTTTACAGTATTACGAGGAAAGTTTTATACCTTTTTATCTAATGTCAAAGAGAAATATCTTGGACCATTATTTATTATCGCATTATTTTAGTAAAGTTAGTTATACCTTAAACTTTAGAGTATTCTTTTAACAAAAGTGAATTTTAGAAACTTTAAATACTCTATAATAAAGCACTTAAATATTTATTCTGATTTTTAAACCAAACGTTCATTATTTAACGTACTTTAAAGAAGTATCAGGAAATTATTGAGACCTTCCAGAACTTCCAATAGCCAACTTCCTAAGGCAATAATAGAAGCCCTAACGAAACAAGGTATTGACAGGTCTTATATAGAAACTCTCTGCCAATATACGCAAAGAAGCTATAGCAAGAGTAATGATATATAAAACAACCCCGGAGTTTCCAAGTGGAAAAGGAGTACGACAGGGATACTAGATTAGATTAGATTCTTAGAGGTGGCTTTCGGCCTGATCCACTGCGACCTTCTCAGATCTATTGTGGTCCTCTTCTGATCCTTAGATTACATTCTCCAGTCCTATCCTTTTCACAAAGTTTAGCAACTTGGAGACTGAACCCTCCATGTAGCTCCTTGGCAATGGCTTATCATTGCCTATTACCGGGAACCGCACATTTGCCAGGCTGTCACACCGACATAAAATGTGTTCTGACGTTTCTTCTTCAGATTGGCAGAACCTACACATAGCTTCGTCAATCCCATCAGCTTTAGATGCCTATTTAGCTTACAATGCCTTGTTAGTAGACCTACTACAGCTTTGACTGTCTTTCTGTCCTTGCTTATCAAGTCTACCGTGAATTTTGGCGAATGTTCTACAATTAACCTTTTCGCCTGTCTCTGCCCTGGTGAGTTTCAACACCATTCTAGAGATTTGTTGGCCACTCATCGTTCCGTGGCCGCCTTTGCAACGCAGAAGAAGGGTTCTGGGCCTATGAATGGCATTGATGAGCCCTGCTTGGCCCTTTCATCTGCCTTTTTGTTACCCTTGTGACCCTCGTGCCCTGGCACCCATGCCAACGTAACAGTGCTGTGTTCGCCCAAAGTATTCAGAGCACGCACACAGTCCCACACTAGTCTAGAATTGACCTCCGCGGAGCCGAGTGCCTTTAGCGCCGCTTGGCTGTCTGTGAAGATGGCCACTGAACGATTTGTTCTTTGTTGCCTTATTATTTCTTCTACACAATAGTGGATTGCCGTTATTTCAGCCTGGAAAATTGTGACATCCTTAGATAGGCTTACGTGGAAGGATCTCCCTTGTTTCGGCCCTACTATCCCAGCTCCTACGCCTTCTGACGTTTTTGAGCTGTCTGAATACCAGGTTGCCTCAGCTTGAATGGGTACACCTTTACTCCAGTCTTCTCTTCCTGGTATGGTTATATTCAATTTGTTGTTGAGGCTATACCTAGTAGCTGTTGTATCAATTGGTGATCCCAATACTTTGTCTGCTTTTAGCTTCTGGTTAGCAGCACTATGCGTTTGGCTTATGTGCTGCCGACCGCGAATTAACCTGTGCATGACAGATCTGGCTTCGCCTTGTATGAAAATATATAGTGGTGGTAAGTTCAACAAGACTTCCATCGCATTTGTAGGAGTGGTTTTTATGGCCCCAGTTACACACAGGCAAGTAAGCCTTTGTGTGGAACTTAACAGACTTACCGCACCCACTTGCGATGTCTTTGTCCACCACGCTACCG